TGCTGGATTTAACTAAGTAACAAATTGCAGCTTTCATCAGCTCCAGAAATAAAATGAGAGTCCAGACGCTCTCTACCTGACATGCCCTTTCTCAGTAATTACATTGTTCAGGTGATCTGAGCTTCTGCATTGTAACTCATACCTTAAACTGCCACCATCAGCAGCATGTTAGGCAGGACTGCATAAGATTTGCTAGTCATCAATTGTACCTTGAAAACTAATGTTTCCACAAGCAGACCACTACTTTTAGGAATATCAATAAAAACACCTGCTGGTCCTAAATCTAGGTATACCTACAGTTTTCTAAATTTCCCTGGCCCTACTCTATTTACTAATACAGAATATTCATTAGAATGTGAAATGTGCTTTTTTTGTTTGTTTGTTTTTTAGTAATATTTTTAATAGCTTGTACTAGATTATTTGCCACATATATATCTAACCAAAGCCTCTGATTGCTCTGAACACTAATAGTTCTTACTTATCCTCACAACTGAGAGTAAATATTTCTAAATGTTGGTCAATAATTTTGAAGTTTGTCCAAAGTCCAGTTTTATGAAAATTTCTTCCAGTATTGTCACTCATATTTTTATAACACTGGAAACATAACACATTCAGAAGTTCTGACAGGTCTCAGAACTCCCAGTCAAAGACCATCCAGAAATTTTCAAAAATATTCCTGCCAAAAAAATTGTTATAGCAGGGTTTTGAGATTTGAGAGCTTTTACATTTTCTTGAAAAGATGTTGACAAATTAATTTTCTAAATATTGATGAGAATGGTGAGGGAGAGAAAAGTTAAAATTAATTCTTATATGATGTGCATTATCTCCTTGCCTACAAAGGTTACAATTTTTGTCTGAAAGCAGTGAGTAACATTATGGAACCAAACGGATTTCTTTATTATTTTTTATACATTATTTCTCTTACATTTTCATTGTAACCTAATGGGGTATTATTGAAAAATGTGATTAGTATTGGAAGATTAATAGTCATACTCAATACTGGTTAAACCACTTTGCATTTTAAGAGGTCTAAATGTTATGCAGTTAAAGAATGTACAATGCATGTAGAAATAAAAATTTTGAGCTAAAAGTCACATGGAGAAAATTGATCTTACTGGAGAAAAACTGAAGATGAATATCAGTCTAGAAATCTAAGTGAAAGATAAACTTTTTTATATACATTTTTTGACAGCTAACTTATTTCTAAACTGAATTAAAGATATTTTAAAGTAAGCTTTAACTTAGTGAGGGAGAATGAATGTGTTTCATTATTTTAGGAGAACATGGATCAAAACAAACAAATATTGTACTGAGGTACACGTAGGAAGGGGGTTGGGGGAGAGACTTGATTTCCAGATAAAGTAGACTGAGAAATTTAGAAATGTAAATTCATTTGGAGGAAATGCACAAACCCTAGGCACCCTTCAGGCCTGCTTAAGTCCTCTGTGAAGGCCAATTAGCTACATAGCATGAATTTTCAATTCCAGATAAATATGCATTTTGCAAGCAGTCTGCAGAAAAAGAATTATTTCTTGGACATGTTTATGAATAATTTGAAGTATAGGATGAACGTAGTCATTTAAAAAATACATTTACAGACAGTTTATACATGGGTAAGTAATAAAGACTCGAGCTTAATAAATATTTGTCAAGAAAGCTGATTTTTCTGTCCTTTACAAAACTTGCTTCATGGTAGGGAAAATGAGGACTTGCTCTACCTTGGGGGAGCAAAATATCCCTTAAACCTCTCTGGTATGCCAAGATGATTTTTTTGCTCTTTTATTTTTTGGATTGGAACATATTTTACTGAGGAAAGGAGTGCTTTTAGCTTTGGGGAAGAATATGGGCAGAGTGAGATTTTATGGTGTGGGAGTCCAGGGGCAGGACTTTATTCACCCTGTTCCCTTTTGGGAAGGTTAGTAGTAATCTGACCATACAGAATCTAAAATTAGTACTAAAAAAAAAAAACAAACAGAAGGTGTAAGGATATTCATACTTTTCTGTTAGTTTTTATTATTATTATTATTATTATTATTATTATTATTATTATTATTATTATTATTATTATTATTAATTATTATTATTAATTATTATTATTATTAATTTTATTTTGCCTTTCACAAGCCTGATGAGGTAAACCTTTATAGTTAGGTTTATATATCCTATATTATCCTATATCCTATATTATCCTGTATCCTATAGTGAATGTTATAGGATACATGTCAGAGTGTACACATATTTATGCTTTCACACAAATTTACTTTTGTAACAAGCATAAGATGAACATACTTTTCAGGCTGAATGCAGAGCAACTAGGCAGAATATTATTATTATTGTTGTTATTATTATTATTATCAGCCTGAAAGAAGAGGTACTTCTACTTATCCTAATTTCTAACCATAATTAATTCATGGCTTGTTTATACTCATTTGTCATTGTGCCAATATTTTACTGGTTGCAGAAGTAATTTTTCTCTTCTTTCATGTTTACATGCCCAGATACATTTATAGGGAACAGTTCATATCCCTTCTCAGACATTGTTTTGAGAAGCTGAACAAACCAAGCTCTTTTAATCTCTGCTTGTAAAATAAATTATCGTTTATATTGCTTAAGCACACTTGTTTACTTTGAGGTTATTTTTGTACTGGTCTGTGCTTTAATTATTCTTCAACTTTCTTATTTGTTAGGAACACAAAAATGAAACTGAAAAAAATAAAAACACAGACAGTATTTTCTGAGCCAAAGCAGGCCTGGGACCAATGATGTCGTATTTATAAATGACAACTGGATAAACATGTGCATAGCTGATACACTTATATTGCATAAGAGCTTTTGGAATAGGATTTTTTCATGCATTACAACACAGAAAACAGTACTTTCAAATTCTTACCAGGAAATGCCAACTCAGGAAAACAGTTCCTATTAAAAGCCGAACTGAGATAAATCCTTTATGAAAAATCAGCAGGGAAATTTTCTGAATTCCATAACTGTAGAGACTACTTGCTGCAGATACAAAAATATACAAAAAATATTTCCTCACTGTATGTTAAGCTCACAGTGATGACTGTATGTAAAATTTACAATGATTGTGAGGAATGGAAAACACAATTTCTCTTCTAGTGGATATTCCAAAATTTTGACATATTCTCCCAGACTGGAACATGACTGTGATAAAAAGCTTAATGTAGAAAATATTCATAAAGAAAGTATAAAGAGTAAAAAATATTTGAAATTGCTTTCTTTCTATAGCTCAGATGAAAACATTAATATTTTATTTTGGGAATGTGTAGATTCACAAGGCTTCATTCCTTAGTGGTACAAACCTTTGTGCAAATGGCAATGACCCCCTGTCTTCTGGCAGCTATTCTTGCTAGCACTGCCATGTCACTGGGAATGCAACACATCCTGTCTCAAAGGGGTCATTCTGTTTTAGGAGCAATGGAGTTGTCAGAGCCATAGCTATGTTCATCGAGGACAATGAGAATCTCAGAACAATAGCTATATATATGGTGGAAACCTGATTAACAATAAATGTTAATCCCCAAGTGGAACAAACTTATGCCTAGTTGTGTTTTGTGCTATTCTAGTGCACTACAATGTCATGCAGCTGTACCAGCAATGGAAGAAATATGGCAACAATTTTGTGGGATGTTCTTTGGAGTTAAACTTTCTGTTTGGCAGAGATTAGTCACTCTAGTATAAAATGGCTTTTTTTTGTTGTTGTTATTGTTAGCTTGATCCTTCCAGTGCCCTCTTCCTTGACTGCTAGCTGTGTTTCTACCTTACAGTAAATGATACTGCTTTTCTGTTCAAAATTCATAAACAGGACAGAGTAAGGTTTTGAACAGCACAATGCAGGATACAGAAAATATCCCAGAAATAGAAATAGTAGGGAGCAATATTCAGGTATCTACACTTGTGTCTCTATAAGCCACCTCAGCTCAGGAAGTAACATGGCCATGTTTCCTAGTAGTACACTTGATCTAATTGATTTTGGGTTGACCAGAATGTTTACAGTCTTCACATAAATGCACCCCTACACGTGGATGTCTACACTATTTTCAGACTCTTTCACCACACTGTACTGTCATGTGAATTTTATCATCTCAAAGACAGCTGAACAATCTGTAAACAGTATTTTGATACTTGATACAAGCATACTTTAATTCATTTATTTATGTAGCTGATATTGCTAGTTGGACTGAACTAATTTCCAGGGATGCTGTTTTGCCTAACTGGGTAGGTTAAATTATTTGTAAAGGAGACATTTTGACTATACAGTAAACTGGCAAATAAATGTATAGTACACAGGAACTTTTCATGTATGACAAAATAAAAGGATGCAGATAATTAGAAATAATTACATTTTCTTCCCTTTCTCCTAACCTCAGAGTAGCTCAAACTAGAAATTTTGATATTTCATAAGTATATGTTATGTGTAATTATAATACTACTATATTCACTTAAGTGTCATCTGTGAAATGTTTTTATAACAGGAGATAGCAATAAGGCCTAGATAACAATAAGTAATGATTTAAAAGCCTCATTTTCACTTGTCAGCTTAGAGGTCTTCTTTGATTTGCTTTTAGATCTAAGCTATTTATTTATTTAGATCCTATTTAGATCCTTTTTAGATCTAAGCTATCCATTTATTTAGATCCTTTTCAGTTTGTGTGTCTTTAAATAAGCCCATGTTTAGACTCAAGTATGCTGGATGAAACTTAAGGGGAGGCACAGGCTATGTGGGGATTAAACAGGAGGAAACTCAGTATTGCCAGCTGTTTTGGGACTTCCACAGTAACTGTAACTCCACAGGGATGCTCCTGGACCCACTGCTTCTCCTTCTTCTTTGGGACTCAGATAAAGAGCAGATTACAGATATTTTCAGGGAAAAGGAAATCATGTGATCACCAGATGTTATAACTTGACTTAATAGCCATCACAATGATTTGGTGGAAAGGAAACTGGAAGAGAAGCATAAACTCCATTTCTCGTTACAGGGTTGGCCTGGTGTGGCTGAGGACAGCACTGGCACTCCCAAAAGGATGGAAGATAAAAACTGCTAAGTGACTGGACTCGTATCCTAGGTATCTAAGGTTCATACTGTCAAGTTCAGTTATTGGTTGATGCAAGAACAGGTGATATTAAGTCTCTTGTTTGTTTGGAATGTTGGAAGGTGATTTATTGTTATTTTGTTGTTGTGGTGTTTTGTTTGTTTGTTTTTCTAGTCCTCTGTGATTTTTATTGTCTTTTTTTGTTGTTGTTGTTGTTTTAACTCTTACTCTTTTCTAAGATGGAAACTATAATTCACAGTTTTCTATGAGCAAACATGAACTGATGGAAGCTATAAGAGTGATGTCATTATAAAAGCACACTAGAAACCTGAGTTTAGCTCTTTTCTTTATCAAACATTTCATTGTAAGACAGTGATAAAACTTAATATAACTTCATTTTTTTTTCTCCTTTCCTTTTGTTTCCCAGCAACTATGCTAGTCTTTCAAAGGATGCCACTATTTCATATTGCCATGCTTTACCTCATACCACACAGATCTTACCAAAATATATAGCCTATATGGCAAGTAAAATAGTTACTGTACAAAGTTTTTACAAATGTGCAGCTTACGATTATAGTGAGCAATCCCCAAACATCAATACATTGTTTTTTGTAATTAGGTTTTGGAAAGGTCATCAGTCTACAAGAAGTAGAGAAAGCCCTGCAGACTTCCATTTCTTGGCTTGGCGTTAGCAGCCAGCCTGTCAGACCTGGCCTTTAAAGACAGATTTGACCTACTGTAGAACAGGTGGTTCAACTGGTGCTTTTATGGAGGGAGCCACTTGATAGGCGGCAGATCTGCTAGCTTCTATAAATATTTTCTTGAGCAGGCTTTTGTGTGGGATTTAGTCTTAGCTGTTGCTTTAGTTGAAATACTGCTGACCTGATTCCCTTCTCATGCTCATGTAACCCTACTGACTTCGACAATGCTTCTCTGAACACTGGTATCAATGAATTAAAGAGCAGATATTCTATTTCAAAATAAATGTGTGAGTCACTGCAGAAAACATTTTGATATAGGATGGGCACTCAACCAATTTGCTCAGAGTAAACTAGGTTGGACTGCATCAGCAACCTCATGCTGATCCCTTCTTCATGTATTTTAGCTGACAGAGCAATTCACCCAACAGAAACTTGCTTGTCTGCCCATACCCTTACTCTGCAAATAGTCACATTGATTTTATAGAGAGAGGTGCGGATAATTTCTTTTGGAGTCTGTTCTGCAGTAAATTAACTATAAACTAACCTACTACTTAGGTTATCTGCTCACTTTGGGGTACAATCAGACAGTTCTCTGCAGATTCCTTTGCCTCTGGGTGTGCAAATACAACCACAATCTGAGTGTTTTGAATAGGAAGGAGAAAGAGGACATTAGGCAAATATCTTCAATGTGCTATCCAGAAAGCAATGGGAAATGACACTGCTGATGGCTTCCTAACTCTTAAAATTAATGAATCTTCATTGTCCAGCCTGTGAACCAGCAAAATAGATTAATTAGCAGAACTGGGCTTAAAACAACATAAAGTTTCATATGGGCTTTCCTGAATTTTCCTCTGGAAAGCAAAGTGCTTGTCTGAAAGAAGTATGAAGAAAGTATAAATAGAACCTGGAAACAGTTAAAACATTTTGTTTTGTTTTGATTTTTGCTGATCATTTCAAAAATAGACAAGCTGATTTAAATGTTTTTCATTTTAACTGACAATAAATGGGATTTATTTTTTTTTAAAGAAATGGGTGTTTTATAAGGGAAGCACTGACAAGCTGTCTCATTGTTTGGTACTGCCTGAATATCAAAACAGTTATTTTAAATGCCTGATCTACAAAATATATTTGTTTCCCATTCTAAAACAATAAATAATTCTAGCATGTGGTTTTATTTTTCAAGGTATTTAGCAGCCTGGAATTTTAGTGATGGCTACACAGAAAAAGATTCTTATAAGTCAAGAGCAGGCCTATAGCTGTCTCTCTGTCTTGCTTTTCCTTTTTTTCCCCTCATCTCTGTATATCTCAGATGACCCAAAACATCATTATTTTTGTAACACGAGATAGAACATGTCACACTTCTGACCTTACGAATAAAATGTGCTCTCATTAAAAGTGAAAACAACTACCCAAATGCCTTTTTTTTACCTACTTAAATGAGAATATCCAATTAATAACCACTTCCACAACTTAATGCAAACCCGGACTCTGAACTAATCTAATTGAGCTTCTTTTTATATCAAATAACATGGGCTGAGCAGGAGGTGCTGTCAATCCTTGATTACCATCAATAACACCATTCTAATTGCCATGAATGTAGCTGTAGCTACATTCCATTGCCATGACTCTGTAGCTGTCAGTGAGGTGATGCTCATATACACGACAAATTTTGGCATGCTGTGCAAAACCATTGCTACCAGGACAACCAGTCTGGCCAGTATTGGGCAGGTATTTTCTGATATTTGTAGGAGTAAGTGCTGCTTAATGTGCTGTATAGGACATATGATATGTAATCACATTATGAGTCGGGACAGTGGTATGGTTATTTATACTGTAAACAGATAGAAATGCCAGAGGTAGCAGCACAACCAGAGTATTTCATTAGCTAATTAGCAGCATCAATAATACAGGGCAATCTTCAACAAATATTTGCTATTTAAAAGAGGTTTTATGAAGAGGGAAAAATTTTCATAGATTTTGGTTCAATATCATTTCCTCCCAAGTTCACCTGCACAGTTAAGCTGAAATGGATTAAGCTGATCCTCTTTTACCATTATTTGCTTTTTCCATTTTCTTGCAAGAAGCATCACATGAATGAAAAATTGTCATTCTGGGTGAACTTTCATTATATCAGAAAGCCTGATTAGACAGTAAAAAACAGCTGGGCTCCATATGTTATGAAGTTCCTTTGAAAGAAAAATTTTTGAGTATACTTCTGTCAGTTGCTGTTTCTCTGGCTCTTTCAAGTTTCCTTTACTTTTAGCCAACCAGCGTGTCTTACTAATATGGCATAGTGAATTTACCACTAGAAAAAAAAAAGAATGTGTTAAAAATAATGTCCAATCTACTAGATAGTTTTTTTTTTTTTTTTTTTTTTTTTTTTTTCCCTGTAAAAGAGATGTCTGTTTGTCTGCCTAAATCCAGGTTTTAATCTTGCACTGCTAGTTGGGACTGTGCATCCCTGAAATACTGGATCTTTCTGGAGCTCTAGAGTTTCAGATCTGGTGGTAGCTGTGTTTCTGTCAAAGGACCATTAACTATTTAAGCTCAGCAAATAAAGACTTTGCTGGCATCACAGGAGTGATCTTGGAATATTGTTTTGAGCCTGCACAACTTTACGATTAATTATGGGTAATACTGTACTGAGAGCACACTCAAGGAAATAGGAGTTTAGATGACTTCCTGTGGAAGAAAGCTCTTCGCTACTTTTTGGAGTGGCAGATCATTCAGTCCCGTCTGTCTTGGTTCCTGCAAAAGACAAAGAGTAAGACCAGTGTTTGACTCCCTTTGGTTATTTTTCTCAACTATGGTGGTTTGTCTGTTGCCCACCCAGCCCCACCGCAGCCCTGACTCAGGCAGCTTCTTTCTCAGTTATGTTTTAGTTCTCAGCTACTTTCTGAAGGGTTTTGCATAATTATATAGTTGTATGTGTAAGGATAAAATAATGATTGTGAAGAAAGGAAGGTAGGCCAGTTTGCTAAATCTTATTTTATTCTGCTCATGTGGCACAGCCCAAGGATGGCTACATAGCAGAGATAGTAAGAATATCTCTACGCTTCTACATAGCAGAGATAGTAAGAATATCTCTACGCTTCTTAGAAGCTGAGTGAGTCTCATGACACAAACAGGGAGACTGTTAGATAGAGTACTTTCAAACCAAATTTTGTTGAAATGTAGTCAAAAGTCATCTGTGCCAAAACAGTGGAGACATTATCATGAAGCACAGCCAGAGATGTCAAATACATACATTACTATATAATATTTTTAATTATAACATGCTAATTACACTTTCATTCACTACTAAAAAATTCCAAAGCTGGCTCTCGTTAGATACAAATTTTGTATCTTTTAATATCTTTCAATATCTAAGCAAATTAGCTTGTTTACAGTGAATCAAGAAACCTTTTGGAAAGAAAATAAGTTTGCATCTTAAAATCTTACAATGTACAATGTGGGGTGATGCTGCACATCAGAGATGGATTAAATTTGATGCTGCAGGGTTTTTTATTAAGTATCCCCTTAAGTATCCCCTTTTCAATGTAGAAAACACGGTCATATATTTTTAACACACTCTTTCCTTCCCTGTAACCCATATTTTTATATAAAAGCACTTTGTCCTGGAAGCTCAGCTGCAGGAAATACCTTCACTGTCAGTTCTGCCCCTAATGAGCACTTCTTTTACAAGTCTTTTGGGAAGTTTGCTGTGTTAACATTAAACAGCCCTAATCTTATACTACTTGACTCCTTAACCAACAGCTCCCAAGTGGCCAGGAAGCATGCCTGTTGGTTTTTTATTGTTTTGTTTTGTTTTGTGTTTCTTCTTCTGATGTTTTTTGTTTGTTTGTTTGTTATTGACAAACACCTGGTGATCCCAATTTTAAAAAATCTGTGTCACAGCTTTGTCAATTCCTACTGTTTTGTCACTGACATCTTACCAATGATGCAGCTCAGAAATAGTGAACATCATAACCTTCATATGCATTTTATTGATATTATCTTGTTTTCATCGATTTCCTGTCACTGCAATGGAGTTGTTGTAATGTATGGTTTTCTGCCACTCTTGCAGAGATGTTGTTCTTGAGCTGAATGACCTGTCAAGCCTGGGGAGTGTATTTTATAGCTTTGTACACAAAAGGACTCATGAGCATTACCCCATCAAACTCATAATTGGGTGTAAAAGAGCAGGAAGAGAAAAGAGGAGAAAACACGGGAAAGGAAATAAAAAAGGAGGACAAAGGAAGAATGTAAGTCATTTTCTGAGATTCTCTATTGGTAAATTAGCTCATGAGACTGCTGGTAGAGTGCATCTGGAGGAGGCATCTTGTTGCTCTTTCATATGTATAAGGTGGCAGAGCCTGAGCCTTCTTGAAGAAGGGTGCTAAATGACTTACAGAGTCTAGTTCATGACAGGCTGAGGCACTGAGTAGATAGAAAGGAAGCAGTAGGAGGGGATTTGTGAAGAGAAGAGTGCTCTTGAACTGCAGTGAAGCATACAGGCTTATATTTGCTCTGAAGCGCCCACTCAAAAACCTAACTTCAGACAGCACAAAACAAATACAAGGCAAAAATATTTAAGATGTAAAATGGAGTGAGAATTAGTCACAATCTGACGATGTTTGGCACTCTACTGTTGATATTGTCTCCTAAGAATATGCCAATTTCTTCCAGAGTTTCTTGTGAAAGAAATAAAACAACATTACTGAATTTGTCCTTGCTAAGTACATATGTATGTAAGTTTTATGTAAACAGTAGATTAACAAGGAAAGTATTGGCTTTATTAGTAAACATAATGATTCAAAAACATTTTAGGTATATAAAATAAGCTTTTATTTGCTTTCCGGAAAATGAGCAAATAAATCATGTTCTCTTGAATACGTTTATTTTATTTGATCCTGTCATGGTGAAAAGTGTTCATGTCCATATTTAAAATATTATTATTTTATATTATTATGTTATTATTTATAGAATACAATTCAGAAACATTCAGATTCACAGGAAACTTCTCAGTTTGAAATTTAATTGTATCTATATCTGTTATTTAACATTATTTTCAAGCTGTGTGTGTTACAGGCACAAACTAACATGGGAGAGGAGGGTAAAAGAAAGGAAGGGAGGGGAGATGAGTGGAGGGGAGGGTGGAGGTGGCTGAATGAGTACAGCTAATGTGCGGGGAAGTAGAAATTTTGTAATGTAATATATGCTGGTAATAATTAACTCTATGATCTTCTGTCATTCAGAGCATGGCGTGAGAATGGTTTGAAAATTGACTAATTGAATACAAAATAAGGCTATCTTTTACCCCATCTCCACCCTGATAGGTGTTCAAACAGGAATAATCAGTCTGCTCTTACCTCAGGCTCCAGCATAATCCAAATTAATGCAACTCTGTTGAGGAATTTGGTGGTGTTAGAGTTTCCATTGTTGAAAGGAAATCAGGAGAAGTATGTTTTACACTGTAAAATATATACAAATCTCTGTTTTACAACAATAGACATGGAACCTAAGGTATTTAGGATTTCAAAAATGTGCTGCATGGGCAGACAAATGAACTAACACTTTTGTGTGATTCTGCTGCTCTAGTTTTCCATAATTCAATCTAGCAATCAGGCAAGAGCCTTTCAAAGCAGTGCCTATGTATGAAGTAATGTATGAAATTTTCTTTTAACTTCCAAGATTAGAGAGCTTTAAAAAGCTTGTTCACCAATAGCTTTGTTCCAGATACTTCCAGCAATGTTAAAAATAACAAGACCCAAAGCCCCAAGCCTGTTCCTCTTTTAAATATTGCTGGTGGACATCAGCTAGCACTTCAGGGGGGTTATTCATTAAAATATTGTAATAGAGCCCCAAATAATTATTTTCAAGAGTGTCTGAAGGGCACTAAAGATCAGTAGCAAACAATAAATTAACTGAAAAAGACTTTAACATAATGTCACACAGTGCAAATAAATGGTGTGAGTTGCACTGACTGTAATTAACATTTAAAAAAGAAAACTGGGATTTGCATATTCTTCTAATAGGCTAAGTTTCCATCTCAGAAATAGATCAAGCACAAGAAACAAAAAGGTTCCCCTTCCCTTTAAGAATATTATTTAAAAAGTGCAACAAACTGTTTTATTCATAAATGTGTTGTCACGATGCCTGATGTCTCTGAACTGCCCTGATTGTCAAGCAACCATGTGGCCCTGGGTTAGAAGGTCAGGGCTCCACTATGCCCTGGGGGCACATTATTCTCATGCTGAAGGAGAACCAGCCATTTTCCCTCCCTTACTGCTGTCCCCCTTCTCATCTGAACTGGAGGAAAGGATTCAGTTTTGTGGAGAAAGTGAACAGTGAGGAGTTTGTTCTCTCTGCCTTCTGTATTAGCATAAAAATTGCACAGAAAGAAAAGTATCTACAGCATTACAAATACATACTAATTATGCAAGAATAGATCACAGATGTTTTCTCATTGTGAATGGCAGCTCATGTCACAAGGATACTAATTGGTTTTAGTGGTAGCACTTTGGAGGGTCCTGAATTGCTCCCTATACAGAAATACTAATGAAAATCACATTAAAATATGTCCTTAACTTTCCTTTTGGAACCTCTTAGGATGATAAATAAATCTGCTGTTCACTGTTTCTTGAAAAATATGGTGTTAGTAGGGAAATGTGAACACATAGCTGGAACTGAGTGATTATGATGTTACTAGTGAACTAAGTTTTATTGTAAGGTTCAGGCTGGCAGGATTGCTAATAAGAAATGCAATTTTAAAAGGGGTGTTTGTTCTGTTTGCATCTGTGACTACTAGGCAATGAGAGGATGATTTTTGCCCTAACCTATAAATGTCCGCATAGGTATGTTAAAAAGAAGACCAAGCTCTCACACTTCAGCAGGCAATCCTGGCATATAGTTTTAACTTTTTATTCAAAATTCATGTAAGAACCATCAAATCTTTTGTTTTGTTTTTGTTTGTTTTGTTTTGTTTTGTTTTGCTTAGGTGTATTCCTAACTTTCTTGAGAACAAAAGCATTTTTTCCAACATGGGTATGTGGTGGTTTTATTCTGCTGGGCAGCTGAACTCCACCACAACAGTTCTCTCACACCCTTCCTCAAAGAACAAGGGTGGTGGTGGTGGGAAGAATATGATGAAAAAGACTCAAAGGTTGAGATAAGGACAGGGAGATCACTCAACAATTATTGTCATGGGCAAAAAAGGAGAACTTCTGCTCCATGCCTGGAGCACCTCCTGCCCTCCTTCTGCACTGACCTTGGGGTCTGCAGAACTTGTCACATCTCTCTCCCTCTCTTCCAGCTGCTGCTGCACAGCAGTTTATTGTTTGTTTGTTTGTTTGTTTTTTCCTTTCTTAAGTCTGCTCTTAAATCTGACATGGGGCAGCTTCTGGATTCTTCTCACAGATGCCACTCCCGCAGCCCCCCTCCTACTAAATTCTTACCACATAAACCCAATACAGGGTGAGACTTCATATTGTGATGGGTTCTGGTTGTATTGCAGTTTACAGAGTGGTGAGCTTGATATGGAAGAGCCTTTTCTGTATATGATAGAAAAGCTTCTGTATTAGTTTATCTAGGATGAAAAAAGAAAGATTAAAGCTGCATGTCATTTAGTTCTGAAAATTGACCAGATGTCAAATTTATTAAGAAGCAGCATGACAACCTTTGTATGCCAACCCTTGAAAATAAGAAGCAAGACAAGGAAATATTGAAATATATGTACTAAAACAAAACCCTGAGTGTGTATATGCATTCATGTCTAACAAACTTAATTTCCTTCTATGACAAGATCACACAGCTAATTGGCCAAAGGAAGCCAGTCAAAGTAATATTTTTGGATTTCAATAAAGCTTTTGTTACAGCCTCTCTCACAGTATCTATCCAGACAAAATGACCAGAATATAGTTGGTTAAAAGCATGATAAGATGAGTGAACAATTGGTTTATGGGTCGGGCCCAGAGTGTTTGTGTACGTGGGGTTGCATCAGGGTGGCAACCTGTCACTAGTGGGGTTCCCCAGGGCTCCATTTTAGGGCCAGTCCTCTTCAATGTCTTCATGAAAGATTTAGATGAAGGACTTGAAGTTTTTTGAAGCAAGTTTGCAGATGATACCAAATTAGGTGGAGCTGTTGACTCCATTGAGGGTGGTGAGGCCTTGCAGAAAGATCTGGTTAAATTAGAGAGCTGGGCAATCACCAATCATATGAAGTTCAACAAGAGCAAGTGTTGAATTCTGCACGAATGACTCAGATCTTGCTTGTACTAATGTAAATTTCTCTTAAATTTAGTCAAGTTTAACCGAGGCAGACAGAATGGCATTCAGATACCATACGAATAGCCTAGGCCTCTTTGGGAGTAAAACTTAGGGAGGCTAGTTATGATAAAGCAAACGATGGCACCTTGCTAATACAGGTTTTGAGTTCATGTCCAGTGAGATCAAACCATGGATCTCGTGTCTGTCCATCTGCAATTCTGTGGTCTTACCCTTGATAATTATCCCAAACACCAAAGAAAGAAGGAAAAAGAGCAGACTTTTAGCTTTTGGTCCAGGGTTTCTTGAAGGAATTGTATTTAAGAGAATAGAGGAGTTAAGAAGGACAAAAATAAAACAGGACAAGATTATATAGATTTTAAAACATGACACTCAACTCATGAGCTTTTTCATCTCGTTTTCCAGGTGTCCTCTTGAGGAGGGGGAGTGAAAAAGCATATTGGTAGGAGTCAGGCTGCAGTCTGAAGCTAATCCACCACACATAGCAAAACAGAGTCCCAGGCAGCCTGCAAGTATTCCTTATATTTTTACGTGATGAAGCTACATGCTGATGGGGGTCTGTCTGATGAAGCAAAGTCAGCACAGAGGTTCCCAGACTGGGTTAGTCTTAGGACTCATGATGTCTGTCCTGTCTCCCTTCCCTACAGCTGAGTTCTCGTCCTAGCCTCCCCTTCCTCTCTGATCTGTCTCAGTCCACCATCCCCCCAGCCCTTATGGTTTCTGTCACCTTCTTGACAGCTCTCTTGTCCTCAGATCTTGTTCCTTAGACCTTGTTCCTCAGATCTGCATCTTCATTCTCTCTCAGGTATCTGGTGCCATTGGCTTAGGGCTGGAAGGGAGGACAAAGAACATAGTATAATTTACCCTCCCCTACAACCTTTCCTGCTCTTTCTTGCCTCTCTGAAGCTCTAATTCTGGGTTTTACAGCATGGCCGATGCTCTTTTTGTACTTTTACTCTATGGTGGAGACAGATCACAAAGACAGCACCCATGAGCACGCAACTTTCCCATCTCCTGTCCTTTTGCAGCATGATGTTATGCACAAGAGCACTGGAAAAGGTCTCCACCAGCCACAACGATGTAAGCTCTTGTTAAGGGAGACATAACTTGCTACTGGGAACCAAGGATCTGACTTGAACTTCAACTTAGTGCAAGATTTTGGCCAGCATATCCCATTGAGGCCCAGGAACACATGCTTTGCAGCAGCTGATCTTTCAGGAAAACAACAATTTTGATGACACCCAGAGAAAGAGAGCCTACCGCTTCCTTTAATAATATATAATAATAGTAATTAATCTCACTGTTTAAAGGTGTGTTCTTTATTTAAATCTGTCTTTATTTCCTATTTTTTGACCGTGGTAAATTTTCATATCTGACCACCTCTCATATTCATCAGTAGACTGACACCATCCTTTACCAGGTTATCATTCTTAATGATAAAATAAATGATTTGCCATAAGCAACATAATTCTAAAAACAGACATTTATGTAATGTTAATACTGCACTTAGATCAAGATCCTGAAAATTCCTCTATAGCTTCAAATGCCATCATGAAAATTCCCGAGTTCCAATAAAAAAGATTTTATTTTCCTCCAGGTAAAAGAAAAAAAATATATTCCTGTGTCATATAACTAATATCATCCTTAAAGAGATGCAAAGTTAATGTTGGAAGTACAGCATAAGAATCAGTTTCTGAACAAAACCTTCAAAGCTTCATTCTTTGCATGATTCTTATTGTATAATATAAATATATATTATATATTTATTATATATATAATAATATACATGATATATATTATTATATATATTGTATAATATAAATATATATTACCAGAAAGCTGAGATTTTGCTTTAGATAATAACTAAATAAAAATGAGAAAAATCCAAGGTGTGTTCATAACACTGACTGCACATCTGTTGCAAAAGTTAAAATATAATTTCGCAGGTGATTTTGTATTAGAGATGCAAGATGAGCTATGTGACCTGGGCAAGCAAGGCAAAATGCAATGTTCAGCAGTGATTATCTTTAGGAAGAAGAATCCATGGCATTTGAATGAAAACATACACGAGTTTTTTCATTCATATAAACATATACATGTTTATATATGTATATAAAACCAAGACTGGCAAGGTTGGAGGAATATGTGTATGAGCCAGAGGGTATGCATGTATGTGCACATAAAAAATGCAGTGAAATGAAATGAAATAAATAAAATTAAATTAAGAAGAGCTAAGCCGTGTGTCAAAATTTCCTGAAGTTGATTTCTGTCACACCAGCTTCTCAAGTAGAAGGGGAGTATTTAGGCAGCTTTACTCTCCCTAAGCACCAGCAGTTCCACCAAATAAAGCAAAAAAGACATTTTAATCACCAGTGGTTTGTCACAATCTTTGGTTTCTTTTTGTCCTCTAAATGTATATCATGTTATTTCAGATCCTTATCATTCACATGTCATCTACAGTTTCCCACAGAATTATAAAAGCTTTATCTCATTCACTGTCACTGTCATCTAACTCAGGGGGCTGTCTGCCTTGGGAACAATTGGCTTTACTAAGATTTAGGCCAAAAGACACATTAACAACTTCAGCGTTACCCTTATGTTCCATCGCTATGTTTTCCCTCATATCCAATAAAGAATGGAGATTCTCCTTAGTCCTCCTGCTGTTGATTATGTATTTATAAAAATATTTTTTATTGTCTTTTATTCTAATAGTCAAGTTATAGCTGGCCTTTGGCCCTTCTAGTTTTCTCACTGCATAAACTCACAACATCTGTTGTCGTCCTGAGTGGCCTGCCCCTTCTTCCACAGGTCATAAACTCTTTTTCTTCCTGAGTACTTGAAGAAACTCTTTATACAGTCAGGCTGGTCTTCCTTGTCAGCTTGTCTTTCGGCATGTAGAGATGGCCTGCTCCTGTGCCTTCAGGATTTCCTTCCTGAAGAATGTACAGCCTTCCTGGACTCCTTTGTCCTCTAGAACTGCCTCCCAAAGGTTGTTTGGTTGGTTGGTTGATTGGCTGGTTTTGCGTGTGCTTGTTCATTAAATTATCCTTGGTATAAAGTCACATTTTTGTTATAGCCATACAGCAGGCAGGAGAAGGGACAGCATAAGGAGTCCCTGTTTCATACAGCCCACGTAAGAACAGTTGTGATTTAGCCCTGTGACCTATTTAAGATACAGAAGTCCAGGTAAATGTGAGATTAGCTGTTAACCTGAGATTTAAGCCTTAGCACATTGCCTCCTGAATTCAAAGTTAGTGAGATTCTCCTAGTTAGAGGAATCTGGGTTTAGTAGGGTAGCCAGTTGGCTCTCTGCCCATACCAAACTTCTGATTCACCAAAAATGTAAGGGAGAGTCTACACCTCTTGAAGAGAAACATTGCTTTATGCTCCCCCTCGTACTGTTTGCCATTCGGGATACATTCCACCTCCTGGTGCTTTCCATTTTTACACAGTGTCTAATGCAGATCTATGCTAAATGCCACAGTGTGGTTCCTGATAATTCACCAAGTAAAAAGGAAATGCAAATATTATGATGGTATGAATGCTAAGCAATAATGCACCTAATAAAATGTTTGCTGGTAGAACTCTCTCACTTGCTGGCAAATGTCATGACCCATATTACTCAGTGTATATTAAACAAGCTGTCGGCTAAGCATATTTGTGAAAAATAATACTGGATGAAAAATGCACTTTGGGTATTCTGAATGTCTCCAGTATTTAATGTCTGCTTGCTCAATTTGCCAGATCCAGCATAAAGTAAGTATACTAGACTACGAGGACATTGCCCTCCTGTCAATTAACATACCCATATATTGTCAACTAACAACCTGTCATGAATGTAGATTGTCCCATAATTTAAATGTATTGTACAGCATAACAAGCTCACAAATGCTGAGCTCTTAAGGATATAATTAAATATATATATACATTAAAATTACACTGATAATTTTCCTTAAAAAATCAACAACATTAAAGTATGAATATCTGGGGTGAAATATTACAATCTGTAGAGAGGAATATATGGAAATTTTCCATTCTCTCTCTTTCCTAACCCCTACAAAGTAGGGGAAAAAGCCATGAGATTTGGAATGGACTATAAACTTTTCAATTGGAGGCTCCTAGTTCAGTTTAGGCTACAGGTCAAGGAAGGCAATTAACTGACAGCAGTTCTGTGCCCTGTGTAGGAGAAATTAGCTAACGAATGCAGCCTGTTTTCTTCATGTCAGACAAGTATCCAGATCTCATCCAGAACAAGTCATTACCCTCCTGAGTGGTCTCACAGCAGGCAAGTACATCTTGGCCATGGAAATTGAACCCACCTGGACACTCATCTGCTCTTCTAACACATGAGGTTGTTAGAAGAGCAGAGGAGAAACTCTTCACCTTTTCCAGGGAAGTAGGCTCCTCTCTGGATATGAAATCTGTTTTTAACAATGTGATAGAAGGAGCTAGGGATGTCAGATAACACAGGTGAAGAAAGCTGTTGCCCGGGAATAGGGGCCTTTCTGTCATTCACCACCACCTTAACCAGTCCTGTGGCCAGAGCAATGCCTGGAGCAGCTGTAGTGGATTTCATCATCCCTGGTGGGAAGGCCAGAACCAAGAGGAGCGTTTCCATTACAAACTGATGTGTATGAGGGAAGCTGTCTTTGTAAGTAATGCAGTACCTCATTTGGGGCATTATACAATCATATTTCAGTTCCATAGTATTTTCCATACAAGACTTTTCACTTTATAGTCTGTAGAATCAGTGTTTCCATTCTGATAGCAATGTTCCCATTCCACATCCTCTGTCATTTCTGACTGCAAATCCTTGGCACAGTAATCGCTGTCCCCCCTGCTTTTATTTTTTCTTACAAATTGGTGAAAGTGATGTTGGCTCAGCTATGCTAAATAAGTTTTATCCAACTCTAAATTTGTGTCGTTTAATCTATTTTATTGTTTTTCAGCTCCAATGCTTCAAAAAATTAAGTTATTTATTTGATTTTTCTTTGCTTTAATTCATACTGTGTACAAATAGAGATGTAATGTGGTCGTGTTGACTTCACTTCAGACTAGTAGACAATTAATAATTTTATTCCCCACTATTTATTCCCATCAAATCTATCTCAGTTTCTACTTTCTTTCTGGAGCCACTCAAAGGCATCATTACTGGAGAACGATCTTTGATCACTTGACATAGACTTATATACTTTTTCAGTGAACAGGCAGACATTACTTCATATCTCAATAAAATAAGTGCTGGGCTGACATTTAAATGTCATTTTGACACACTCCTGACCCATGCATCTTTTTTTTTCCTATGAAAAACTTAAAAGCTGATGTCAAATTCAAAACTATTTAAATCAATCTTAAATGAAAAGGAAAAAATGAAATAAATAAAAAAAAAGAATAATTACATGGCAATTTCTAGGGACAATAATTTTTTATAAGCATAGAGAAACAGTGATTCTTGCTTGGCATGAATCTTTAATAACTATTATAGAATATATCTTAGCAGATACAAAATTCATTTGAACTTTGTGAGCCCCAAACAGGATGAGAGAGAGGAAGAGAGAGAGAGAGAGAGAGAGAGAGAGAGAGAGAGAGAGAGAGAGAGGGAACCTCCCAAGGCCAGTTGTGAACTTCTCTTGTGCTGTACAAATTCTTTAGGTAAACAAATCCTTCTCTTATCTCTAATATCAGAGATTAGTGAAAATGGCATCATACACAACCCATGAAACAACCCATGAAATCACTGAAAGAAACCGTTTTGAATTTAGTAGAATTTGGCTTATTTTAGGACAAATCAGTGACTCTAGCTGGGATAAAAGAGCAAGTCTCCAAGTAACACAAGAGGAATATCTAAGATGTGATCTAATCTCTGGATCTGTCCAAAGATACAGGTAGGGGTGGTTTCGGGATTAACATCTTCATGTTTTCACAATGGGAGCAAGGACAACTGTAACTTTAAAAATAGGAAGAGTTCTAAAGATGAATTTTGTGAACAAAAGAAAATAGCAGGTAAAGACTATTTTGTGTTGTTGTTGTTCAGTTTAGTAGGATAGCACAAATAAGCATTTAGTTACATTTCCCTGTAATCCTTTAAAATAACAGGAATGACATGTTTATATACATGAACAACTCTATAAGTAACACTGTCATTATTCCAGTCACTTCCAGATTACGCAGGAGTAAATGTATGTTACAGTAATCCTTATATATTTATCTCCTCTTAAGCTGTGTATTTTATCTCCAGTCTTTGCAACATCATTTATTTTTTTTTCCTTCATGCTCCTCATTCAACTGGTAGATTTTGCATTCTGTCTGTGTTGCCAGGGAAGACTTACGTTTTCAAGCAAAAGCCTTGAAAAAAGTGCAATACAGTATTCTAAAAGCCTTGACTCATTTTCCTAACCCTGGAGGGCAAAAAATGAGATAAAAATAGATGGGTTTGCCAGTTTCTCTGAAAATACCCTTGACCAGCAAGATATGTCCAGCAGTTCATAGCTGTTCTTTTTCTTTTCCTGAATTCAGGAAAACAGCCTATTTTCTTCATGTAGAAGTGCTTAAAAAAAGTTATCTCAAAAAAAAAACCACAAAACAAAACAAAACAAAAAAAAAAAGAAACAAAAGAAAAACCTTTCTCTTCCATAAAAGTGGGAAAATTACATAATGCCAATGGAAGGTTTATTGGAAATTTTGTATTTTTGAGCGTTATTTTCTGGTTGAGGATGCCAGGTCCAGAGAGAAGATATTTTTAACTGAACTTCTAAGTTAGGTCCAGTCATACATAAAGGTTTATATATTTACTTTGATCTCAGTGTTGTTTCCTGAGATGCTGAGACATGGTCCTTGAGACTTCTTCTGCATGTAGAATCATAGAATGGCTTGGCTTGGAAGGGGCATTAAAGATCATCTAGTTCCAACTCCCCTGTCAGTGGGTAGGGACACCTTGCACTACAATGGATTGCTCAAAGCCACATCCAACCTGACCTTGACAACCTCCAACAATGGGACATCCACAACTTGTTCCAGTGCCTCACCACCCTCACAGTGAAGAAATTCTTCCTTATATCTAACCTAATTCTACCCTCTTTTAGTTTAAGAAAGAAAGATGGGAGGGAGGGAGAAAAGAAGGAAAGAGGGAAGAAAGGAAGAGAAAAAACACGAAGTGTGTGGTGCCTGCAAATAGAAACTGCCAAGCACAGTCACAAAGCATGACAGAAGTTCTTACATATTAAACAGAAGAAATCAGTGTGCAGAATGTGTATGGAAAAGTAATGTAGATGTTCATGAGAGCCTATAAACTTTTTAATTGTTTAAAATTAGTTTTTCAGCTTGTATGTTTCTGAATAAGGCTTAAATAATATATTTTATTTTGGGTGATTGATTGTATGACTCCAATCCAGGGAGTTTAAATCACATCTGCTGTCCACTTTAAGAAACAAAATTATTTTTGTATCTTTGGCATCATGTATCATGTTAAGTTTGAGCCATAATGTAGTGTGTGTGGGGGAGCAATTCTGTCAGCGTAGTACATAGCCATGAGGTCTACATTATTTGTGTCATTAAAGTAGCCTCAATGTAAC